GAAAACACTGTGTTTTCTCCTTAAAGTTTCAAATGGTGAGTCTGTGGAAACAGTACCACAGGTGTCCACAAGGCTTTTTCCCCCAAATTTTAATTATGCAAGGTATAATATACAAATAACTTCATTCATAATCATTTTATTTCTAAGTGCCTAAGCTACAAACTATATAAAAATTTCATAATGCTTACTATTTGACCTCAGCTCATATTTAAAGACACACGATTGGTCCAATTGAAGCCCATCTCAAAAAGAACCAGAATCACAATAAACGCTTTACTGCCGTTCTACAAATACTGTAAAATGAGCACTTGAAAATCAAGACCACACTTGAAATAGGATTTAAAAAAGGCAACACCACTGCATTGGTAAATAAACAGTATATTAACAACCAATACCGTGGTAAGAGTAAACGAAAAAGAACACAAAAAAAAAGCACTGATATTGATAATAATGCTGCTTCTCTGCTGTTTCGCACTTGCATGAAATGAAGTTATCAATAAGAAACGAGAGTATTTTTTATCGATTACTTTGTGAAAAGTTTTTGCTATAACGACAGAGTTCTTATTCTAAAGTTAAACCTCTGTGCTCCTCCGACGCTCACATTTCTCCACCCTCAACTGTACTGTATGTATTTATTCCTAACACCTCCAGCCGTACCTACAGCAGGGAGCTTCCTCCACACTTTCCTATGTCTTTTCACACAGCCATATGCTTATTTTTTTTCCTCAGTGACCTCGGACCAAGGCAGACCTGTCAGTGCCATCTGCTGCTGCCTGGTCCAAATTGTAGAAGTCAGCTAGGTGTAGATGCTGCCAGATACAGCTGCCCCTTTACCCCACACTGAATACCTGCTCTCTGGTTAGAATTCTTTACCATGACTCTGCTCATACCGCAGCCTCGGCTCCCCGGGGACACAGGACCGAGGGAGGCTGAGTGTTTTACAGTAGGACCCTTTCCCATCCCAGAAGCAGCTAACAAAATCTAGTTATGGGGCATGAAGGGGAAGGAAAACGCTTACATTTGTAAAAATTACCATGAAGAATAAAAAGCGAGGTCAGACAATTGGACATTCACACAGGCTGCATGAAAATGCAACGCAGACTGGTGTGAATTTGTTTCGGATTGTGTTTTTATTTCTCGGACTCACATACGGGCCCCATTCAGAGCAGGAATTAGCATACATCATAAATGATCTGGTCACATGTGAAGAGTGCTGAATTTGATTGTTCACAGGTCATTTGGTACCGGGCCACAGTGGGACACTGTGAAAAAAATGTACTTAATTTATACTAATTTACTTCATTCAAAGAAAATCCACTCATATCCATTTACTTTCTTTATTTAAAGATAACCTGTCAATATTTTAAAATAATATGTCATTCAGGCTCTGATACAAACAGAATAGGTTAAGAAACTGGCCACACAAAACGGCTTGGCGGGCCGCATTTGGCCCCCAGGCCTTGAGTTTGACACATATGCTTTAAAGCCAAAGACTAAATGACAGTAGTTAGAGACTTTTAGCAACAGAGCTTCACTTTTAAATGGAGAATAATTCATCTTTTAAATTTGCGACCATATGATTACATCTTAGATGTTTATACTAGATATTAACATGGTCAAAGGCCGTCAATAATGATGTGAATAACGCACATGCCACAACTATCTTACAAATAATAGATTTTTGTTAATTCACTACTCATTTTAACACATTAACAAAACACAGAAGCGCCAATGGCTGTCGTGTCATTACTTTGAGACAGCCTTGCTGCTGTTACTGATGAAAATTCAGACAGTCTGCTAGTTTGCAGAAGATGGGAAACGAACCAACCCATTAATCACAGTCATGTCTGGCCTTCTTATCTTCCCTCCTCCTATCAGCTCAGCCCACAGTAACTAAGACCGTCTCCTCAGTCCCTTCGATCAGCCATCTTTAGATGGATCTGCAGATTGAGTCCTACAGAAAAATTTCATTCACATGAACTCCAAAATCTGCTCTGACCAGTTCATTGCAGATGCAGTAACAGCAGCGGTTTCATAAACCAGGGCAGTAATATAACCCCGGGCTCATAAACAATGACACAGGATCTCCTCAAAACAGATGCTTTTATGGGGTATAACAAAAATAAAAGGTCAGAAGAGCAGCCATGAACAGGCTGATAAGGAGTATGAAAAATCTGATTAGAATTCCTGATGGACTTTATTTGATAGACTTATCCATTATTTTCAGTACTTTAAGGAACTTATGTTTAAAAAACTGTCTTTTATTATGACTTTTTCTGCTTCATGGAAACTAAACATTAAATATATATTAACTCATATGAACTGAACATATTTGTGTCACTGACTAATCCATGTAGCTGTATGGCACAGTAGGATTTAATTCTTACACAAGGGTTCTCTTTCTGTCGCCTCATCTGTGGGATTATAAGTGCATTGATTGGTTGTTAAACTATATATTTTAATGATATATTTCCTTAGAGTACTAAGTACCAGGACACGTGATTCTTCCGTCTCTTTTTAAAATTGAAAACTTGTTCTTCAAGGTGTGCGGCGTTGTGATTAATCTTCATTACAAGACCCAGAGGAAGGGCCTTGTATTTACTCTAACCCTGATAAAAACAAAGTGAGCTTTCAATTCCTTTTTACGTCAGCCATGCACACGCATGTAATATCAGATCATGTTTTATTTCTGTACACATGTGAAACTGCAGCTAAATAGTTCCTTTCTCTCCCCGGTGCTCTCACCACCAAAGCCGTCCCTCACTTGACCCCGGACACTGTTTAGAAATGGTCCGTCATAACATGTTACGTTCCAATCATAACAACTGTGGACAGAAGCATATGGGAAAGGTTTTATGATGAACACTAATGACAGCTGAAGCAGTAATGAGATGATCGGGAGAGGACAGGACCCTCAGAAGAGCCATATCTCACATATTGTGATTTTTATTTTGGTCAGCTGGTGGAGGGCTCCTGGCTTCTTCTTCTTCTTCTTCTTTTTTTTTTCAGGTTAGGTTTGGCTCACATAAATCCGTAGCCCCAGTTGGCAGCTGTTTGGCTCTGCCGCCCTTTGCATCTGCACAAGGTCGTGTGGGAACTAAATGGCAGGGGTGGGAGCCCGACTCTCACTTTTACGCTTCTTGGCTCCAAAATAGCGAGCATGTAGACGTACACAAAAGAGATGGGAGGAGAGTTTGTCCTCAAAGAGTCAATGGATGAAGAAACCTTTTAAGCAATCCATTCAGCCTCTCCATTTCACTATAACACAGGGATTATGAAGCTGAATAAAGCAGATCAATTCACATTTCTTGGGGAGTTAAAAATGAGCACGTTGATGTTTTTTTTTCTTTTTTCTTTGAAAAGCTGTTAAACTTACTTTTATCACATATTTGATTCATTCCACACAGTAGTGTCCAACATAATCAACCTTATTTTGCTTCTGGAATGCAACGCCACCCACCGAACACGGGCTGGGCCTAACTGTCGGGCGATGGTAATGTTACATTTAAATACAAATTAATCATAAGAGCCTAATTCATCACCATGACAGCTGTAAAAACATCCTGCCAAGCCCCCATTCGCTGCTTCCTCCTCTCCGTCCCCTCCGGTCTTTTCACTTTCCTTTTCTAAATGGGCCACTCTTTGAAAATCCTCTTGCATGGCTGGAGAATATGTATGCCTATGAGGATATTCATATGCTAATAGCTGTGAAGCTGAGAGTGCAAAATTAACCAAGCTTGACAGAGACCCATGTGACCCCCAAAGATGTGGGGAGGCCAGAGTGAACATCGATCATGTGACACGAGGACTGGTAAGGCCAGGCAGGACCAGGGGAAAGATGGATGCTCTTTGAGACAGCTCATATTTATCTCTGAGAGGGTTTGAAAATATTGATATTAGAGCCGCAATACAAAAAAATGACAATGGGTCGCTCTTTTCACACGACCTGTCATCTATTTTGTTCCATTTTAGTGGGTGTGTTTGCGAGACATCGCTGCTGAAAAAGTACAGTCCGCAGTTGTAATTTTAACCTCTGGTCAAAAATGTTACTCCAAAAGGAGTTGGAAGTAGCGAGAGCTGGAAGAAGACACGGAGAGAATGAGAAGGAGCGACCAGCCTGGAGCCAGACACCGATCTTATGCTCCTCTCCTTGAACGCTCACAGGTAACGGCTCTGAGGCAAAAAAACAGTGCAGTGATGCTACTACATCAGCTGCGGACATGTGCTGTGAAACCATAGCCCGTGGCCCCACTTCATTCTGGCGAGGGCTACATTCACACATGACAAATCAGGTTCATGAATCATTCAAATCTACTGCCACCTCCCTGACCGCAGGCGTCCAAAATAGCTTTTCTTTCAGCTTAACTCTACGGGCAAAATGGGAACAAGGCATTTGATGGGGAATAAAGTGCATTTATTCATCATCACACCTGGACATTCTGCAAAACATTTGCAGAGAATAATTGCTTTCTGGAGGCCTTGGGATTGCTAAGTGAAAATGATATAGTGCAGTGGTAGAAGGTCGTGTCACAACAGGATATCAGTCTGTTGGGAAGTGTTAACACAACTTGAAGAAAACACTTCCACTCAAAGGCTATTGTACAAATTTAGGGGGAAGCCATTCTTTGTATAGACAAAGTCCATATCAGCTTTAATGACCAGATGGTCACAGATACAATCTTGACCATGTGTTTTAACCCGAGCGATAAAATGCAGTAAACAAACATTTTTTTTAGAAATAGAAAACTCTTATGCAGTAGGTACACTACACAGCTGTTACAATGTTTGAAGTCTTTCGACAAAGTTGTGTACACAAATGAAATTAAAATGTGAGCCTTGGCTATAATTTATCAAACAAAAAGACAGCAGATATACTTGTGGTTTTTACTGACAATCTGAACAGAATGACATCAAACTGTCAGAGTCAGTATCCCGGGTTCTGTTTTGTTTACACTGTAATTTGTGAATAAAGAAAAAAAATTGTAAACTCATCCACTTACGTTCATGACAATGTTTCTCTTCTTGTTGAATTCCGGTGTGAGCTGCTCTGTAGTCTTCATCACTCACTGGATCACTACTGCAGGCAGACTAGTGAAGAACCTGCACAGAACATTAACAGAGCCAGATTAGGTCCTCGTTGCAGCTACGAGCTTTAACTCTCTGTTAACGTATGCTAAGAAACAATGCTATTTTACTGTTGTTCACAAACAATAAATGCGGCATAAAACACAGAAAGCACCAGAACCACCGCCTCCTGATGGAATCGGACCATGCTGAATTCAGGTGAAAATCAAAACTTCTCTGCAGTGACAGTGCACAGCAGTTTGACCACTTACACCTGACGATTTTTTGTATTTTGTATTTCAGGGAACTCGTATCTTGAAGCCCCACTGTATATATATTTACACTCCTTTTTCCCCTCTTGTATCAAATTACCCACAGCACAAATATTTTATTTCAGCACTCAACAGAGGTAACAGCAGGTCACAGTCACCTCCATGCGCCTGGTACTGTTTGTTCTCCAGGCTCCCGTCTGTGTTACAGCCTCGTTACGTCACTCTGACATCCTGGTCCATGAAGGTAAAAGTTTTGTCACAGTTTTAACAAACACATCATTAAATCAGTCAGCGGTGAGAAACATCCTGTTACTTTCATTACTAACTCATAAACATTACATTCAAAAGCAGGTGTTAAGGTGCTGACATTTAGCTGTACATTTAGTTGGAAAGATGCAGGATTTCTGTTGTTTGTAGAACCAAAGATTTCCTAGAGCATTCAGGGAGACTGGTGAGTTTCCCCACCACGCACCGCAGCCACTCACAACTGATGTAAAAAGGGGCATTAAGGCCTGCTTTAGAGCCAATCTCTCACTGTCGTGCCATCGCACTGTCTGCCACACAGCCTGCTCAGTATTTATTGAGACGCCCACAAAGCAATCTGCAGAGGCAGGCACAGATGGCTCCTCTAATCCAGGTAAATTATCTTTGAACCTTTCTGCGTAAACAGACGTGCCATCTCCAGAGGTCTGGACTCTAATAAGCATTAGAAAAGGTTGGTGATTGGTGTCTGTGTGTTTGCGCCTGTAGGCACGTGCATCACATATTAAACAATGCGGTCACATGACTTGGATTTTCGGCAATATGAAAGACAACAGAGCGTTGACCTCTGAACCTTGTACTTGTGGACATGTGGCTTTGTCCAAACATAACCTTGACCGAACGGAGTTGCTTTTCCCTGCTTTACTGACCAGGACATCACAGGCTCATATTTACCTGTTTACAGCCATTGGTTTTGTTTTGTTGTTGTCTAACTGTGGCTTAAAAGAAGTAAATACTGTTTTAAGATTTATTTGGATCTATCTAAGAGAATATTTCTGGGTTAGATCCTGTAGGGTTTCCGTTATGTTACTGAAAATATTTGTCAGGACTTTAGCAGGGCATTTTTTTAGCTGCTAGACCATGACAGAATCAAGTCATGCACTACCACTAATCCTCCCCCCCTTGCTAATGCTACTAATTTTATCTCTACCTGTGGAAAAGATAAAACACAAGCTGACTAAACAGTCTACGCAGCAAACCAATACTATCCCCAGCCCTAAACTGGAATGTCATAAGAACCACTTAGTGCTGAACCTGGTCTAAAAGGTTTAAATTACGCAACAAAGTCAAATGGAAACTAAAAATTTAAGAGCTGCCCTGAGGAGACATGCAAATTTGATTTAGCTGGTAGCTTCACATGGGCCACTGCACGGGGGCCACGGCTGGATGCAGAGAAGCTGCAGTATGGGCTTCAGTGTTGTCTATGAAGACAGTGTGACACCAGACACCAGACATGTATGGATATAATCTTTAATCCGACTTCGTAGACAAAGCAGGGAGAAGCCCAGAGGAAACTTTTCCCAGAATACCTTCAACGTTTCCAGGACATTTGACACTTTTATAATTGTGTGTATGTTTGGAAATCAAGTCATTCATTTTACAGGTTTTCCATATAACAAGTCCAAACCCTGTCCAGTCCAGCTCCCACTGTGACTTTTAACAGGATTTAGTTATTGGTAAAATATGGACTGGTGGAAAGAATGATTCATTTTAGAGGTAAAATCATCTATTTCCTGAAGGGAACTACCAAAGGATTAATAAAGTTCTTTCTTTCTTTCTTTTTTCTGTCCGTCCGTCTGACCATCTATCTATCTATCTATCTATCTATCTATCTATCTGTTTTACTATATTCTTTTTGAGACCTTGTTAGAAACCTTTAAATTTCTGCTCTTAGTGAAAACGATATGCTGCAGTAGTTTTTGTTCACTCCTTGATGTCATACAGCTTCGTTATGAGATTGAAATGCAAACTTTTAATACACCCTCATCCCTTTCGTCGCACTCCACAAAGAACACTGTAACCTGCAAAAGTAGCCGAGTCATTTGTCTTGTAATATAGTAAGGAGTTGCTCTTTTTCATAAAGTGTAAAAAAGTCCCGGGCAGAGTTCTGGGTAATAGAAGGCCGTCCCTGTGTGTGGTGTGTAACTAACAGTTGTAGAGATGAGTGGTCCTGTGATGAATGGTGCCGTCATGTGCGGCTATAATCACGCCTACGCATGGCTTCCTGCATAATTGATTTTTAATCCCCTAATAGAAAGTAAATCAAACGAGCAAAGCCTGCCACGGCGTCGCCCCAGAAAAAGGGAATAATAGCAGAGAGGTGGGGGCGTCGTTGGGGTGGAGGATAAAATGAAAATGAAGAGTGGTTGTCTAACTGTGTTAAACCCTTTTTTTTTTAAAAAAAAAAAAAAACAGTTATTATAGTTGGTAGGAGAAATGTATTACAGTTGCCTTACCTTTGTGAAACCATCAGCGAATGCAGGAAAAACACAGCATGTTTGGTGAAAAACCCACGTGTCAGCTCCCACTGATGACTCCAAACTGCTGTGTCATTTGGACAGAGAAAAGAGAGACAGGGATACATTTTGTTTAGCATTTCTAAACTAAGTTGACACTGAGAGTAAATTATAGTGCTGGCATTTGAAGGATAAGAGGTGTGGACAAAATGTGCAATTTGCCAATGTCAGCCGAGCATTTCTGTCAACGCGTTTAAATGTCGGGGATTTCACCGAACAAACACCGCATTTTGCAGCAGCACAGAGAATTTTAAACGGGAAGATGAGTTGGTAGATTCATATTTCGGTCACATCCTTGTCGTAGTCCGACTGCAGTGAATTGCAGTAAATAATTACTTCAGTTGGGGATTAACAGCGGGTATAAGAAAAGGACTGAAATGTCAAAGGGTGACGTCGGTGCAGGCGCTGCTTGACTTCCTGTCAGCAGCATTGAGAGGAACATTAGGAACTAACTCATTTCCTCATTTAATCAAAGACAATAGGCGGTCAGTCAACACCGGGGGGCATCATTTACACCTGACCTGCTCTGTGACTCAGTCGACATCTCACACCTACAGACAGTCAGAGGTTGTTGAACGGCTTTAACCTGGTATAAAGTACAGTACATATAGTACGGTACGGTACAGTACAGTACAGTACATATTGTGGAGTTTCAGTGCTAGTTGCAAGGCAAACTGAAACAATGATCCGTCTACTCTTCCTTCGAAGCAGAAGTCAGCGTTAACTGCTGCTTCAAACAGTGTGTTGGCAGTGTATGATCTATGATACACACGTTCATATTTCCTTATTTAAAGTTATAAAATCAAATGGAAATGACATAAACGCAGTCACTGTCTCATGCTGTAGCTCTTCATCAACATTGACTAATCCTTTTTCTAACACAGTCCAAACACTCAGATCCATGGAAACCTGGGACAAAATAATTAGGTTTGGTTTCATCAGTATTTTGTGACATCAGTTTTCACTTGTAAAAGGACAGAAGAAAATGCTATATATTTCAGTATTACAATAGGATTGTAGGATTTTAGACTGACTCACATGAAGACGATGGCCGTCCCACCTGAACCATCATTCATCTGATTTGGTCCACAGTACCATCAGATGTAGTCGACTACTTGGTTCCTGCTGAGTCTATTCAACGTATAACTACCTCGCTGCACTTTTCGTTCTGGCAACATCTGTGAGCTGAGCCTTCATTTATTGTAAAGGAGCTAGTAGCTTAGCTCCCTTTAATGTTCAAGGAGCTTGTCCATCACTGACTGTCAGCAGGGGCTCGGTACTGTAAGGTTAAGCCAGTGTGAGATGGAGCCAATGACTCGCTGTCTCTGGACGTGCCAGCAACCTGAATTAAAGAAGACAGACGAGAGGAGACGGAGAGAAGAAAGACGGGAGAGGGGAATGAGGCCGAGAGGTAAGGATTGAACCCTCCAACAGCTGTCTCTCTGACGGATGAGATTAAAGGTGCCCATATAATGGCCGACAAAAGGTGGACTTTAGTATCAGAGGTATAAAGACATCATTTTTGTGGTTGTAAAAATCGGCTTTGGTTAAGGCACAAATACAGACTCATTATTTAGTCATTTGTAATTTGTCTTGAGAAACAAGGGCGGAATTCACATCTTCAACCCTCTGAACATATGTAAATAATAACCTTATTATAAAGCTAATATTTATACTTTTCTATATTGAATTAATCTCATTCTCTCAATCTAATCTCAACTGAATTTCCATGAGAATCATTTTCCACAAGGTCAGTGTTTCAAATACCTTTAAATACCTCAACTAGCTTTTCAGGGTAAGTGGTAAGTGGGTAAAAGTCAACGTGAAACTATTTTCTGATTAATTAACCTTTCTTTTACAGCCATGCATCATCCTTCAGGAGGTATTTGTCATCTTTCAATTTCTCTCTTTTGTTAATATTTTTTCCCCACCTCCCACTCTCATTTAATGTATATATGCAGTGACTTTGTTCTCGGCCGCACCCCGATGAATAATAAGCGCTGTACGTCTCACCTTGACAGTGAAGAGACGACGCTGAGCTTCTTTGAACAGTTTTTTTGATGTCCTGCGTAATAGCAAGTGAAGGTCCACCTCACCGTCTTCACCTCAGAGGGATCTGCTCACGTCTTTCAAATCTGAAAACACAAAACAAGTCACAGAGAAGGTCAGGGGGAAAAAAATCTTTGCCAAAGAGTTTTTGCGACAGGGACATACTTCTAATTATGTGCTTTTAAAATCAATAAAGCAACAAAGGATTTTTTTTTTTTACGTAGACACATTAAAGTAAGTGTTTCTCAACTTAGTACTTCACACAGAAAGTAAAGAGATTTCAGTTCTTTGTGTTTGGGGTGAATTTTGAGTCAGTAAAATTAATGAGTCAGTAATGAACATTCAGATACTTCCAACCCTGGTCTGGTTCCTTCTCCAGCCAATAAACGGAGTCAATCATTTTGTCAACAACTCAGCCCAGTGTCTAGGACAGTGGTGAGGGGTGTGAATCTTCCTCACATAAAAGCTTTGTATTAAATGTGACGTACACTCTGTGGAATAGAGCTCAAGTGGGCACGCTCCCACTAGCTGCTGAGCCTGGTTAGTCATGCATGCTATGGGAACAGAATGTAATCACCTCCACTCCTTTAATGGAGCTGTCAAGGCAGCCACAAAGCTAAGCTGGTCACAGCAGCTGAGGGTGAGGGGGCACTAAGCCATCTGATGAGCCCTGAAGGCCTGGGCCATGATGGTTCGAAAGTCAGTCCACGACGTTGAGATGAGCATGAAACTAAATACCAAGGTGGAGCAGTTGACCGAAATTATTAATATATTTAAGCTTTCTTCAGATTGGATGAAAACATAGTATTATGAAGCAAATACAAGGGATTTTTGGAATCGTGACCCCAAGGTTGAATAACACTGCCTTAGAACCTCAGGGTAGATACAAAAAGCCAGTTATTAAAAAAAATCATATATGTGGAAACAACAGTGATTAAAGAAGCAGGATAGATGTGACAGAACTAATAAAATACCAAATAATCAATCAGGATTATTGGAGATGATTAATTCTCATAACCTTGTACAGCACATACTGTAGTTTCTCCCCACAAGTGCACAGGCTCGGAGCTGTCACTCACGTCACCGGTGACACAGACGACACAGACCTGTCACTGATGATGGGAGAGGGATCGAGCGACTAAAAGGGATTCTAATGAGATCCCGGAAGTAGGAGAAGGAGCAACATCTCCATCTCTCAAGTGGAGGGCGGTTAGGTCAGACAATGGAAATTAGACTGGGAACATGAGAGGCAGGGCATGATATGACTGATATGAGCTGACATTACTGGACAGCAGCAGAGCCATCAGCCATCAGGGACCATGGCTCTCAGCTCAATACAGCAAGGATCAGATAGTGTAGCTCCGTCAGACACAATAGTGGAGCTAGAAACTACATGGTGATTAGATTATCTACTCTGGAAAATAAAATAAAAGTACTGGGTTATTGTGTTCACTGCAGCAAGCAATAATAAAAGGGTAAAAAATAACCATTTTCTTACCATGAAGGATGTATTAATCATTATCTTTCACAGGTTACATATCAATAATTGAAGCTCCTGATGTTTATCAGCTAATAGAACAGTGAACCGGACCTGTTTAACCTTGGGTTCTATTCTCTGCTACTGCAGAAACATTAATTTGGTACAGTGATTAAAAGGCAAAAAAAGCAGTAATTGAATTGAATTAAATCCACGGTGTTTTATCCAGTTTAATCGGCTAATTGCTAAGGGATGTTTTATTTTTTTTTAGTTTTTTTTTCTGATATGAGCTCATGATTCAGTTGATTATGAAAAGGGAAAACATGTTTGCTTCTATGTAGGAAAGAAAAAAGAAAAGGCTTCGAGGCTCAAGGTTTCATTATTTCCCTTCGTATTTGCATATAAAGACTCTTCAGTCACGCTGAGGTAGAAGTAGAAGAGATATAAATAACAGAAAAATACCACAAAAGAAATATATTATTTAAAAGAGGCCGTACACAATATGGTAAAAATGTGAAACGTATGATGAAAAACAATACATTTCTGTTTACATATATATGTTTTTTATAGCTATGCAGTATATATAACACTATAAATAACACTGCAAAGGGAAAAAACACTTTATCTATACTGTGTAACTATAATATGAATATGTAAATACATGACGGGAAAAAACACTTTATCTATACTGTGTAACAATATGAATATGTAAATACATGACGGAAAACCTGTAGGTATGTACAGTATTCTGCATATAGATATATACACAGTAAACACATATATTAAAGTATCTGTATATGTCATTTAAGTAGCACAGTAAAAATGGAAACTTGAATGAAATTACACATGACAGACCATCTATATAAAATATAAATATACAGCAGCTACTGCTATATTATACTTAATAAATCAAACATTGTATTTTGACTTTTTTTTTCATCTAATCAACATGACACAAAAACCCCAGTCAGGTTGTGTCATAGGAGTTACTTGTATGAACCTTACATGGTTAGAATCAGGAAGTGTCAACATGCATTTTCACTGGTGGTTTCCCTTTGGATGCTAATATGACGGCTCTGCATCACAGAGCACTGTCTGATCTGAATATCAAAGGCTGCTTTAATTCAACGTATTCACCGTGTGGTGTCTCCCTGTGCAGCTCTGACCCTGCAGTGGGAGCCCACTGTTATGATTCACACAACCTCAGTGTAAAATCTGAGTTGATGCCATCCGTGGGGATCAATATCAAAGACTTTGTTTTTCATTAACATATTGCAAGTCTGCGCGGCGCTTCCTGAAGTCTGAGGCGAGCATTAGCATCGCACTGTGAAAAACATTTCCCTGTCGCTGCTGCTGCTCCAGGTAACATAGGACAATTACAAATATTTACAGTATGAATATCACGAGGAATTAATGGAGCCTTAAGGCCCAACAGTATTCTAGCGGTCAGAAGTCCGCTTCTCAGCAAAAAGGTCACGCTTGACCAGATAAGCCCTGCAATGGTTGTATATTTTCCCCATGCGTACGAGGATTGTCGTTGGATGATGGAGCTTCTGTCCACAGTCCAAAGGCACACGGACTGAGGATAAAGTTAACTGGAGACTGCTAGAACTATTTGTTTGCATTTATAAACTGAATTAAATGGACTGATGACCTCTGGACCCTTGTTTTTTCCCTGTTGTTAAAGAGATGAATGAACTAATACCCTGATGTGTGGTGTACTGTAATACTCTCATGTGTGAGGTATCCCCTGTATATGTGTTGAAAATGTCAGAGTGAAATTGATTGTTTGTGATGACAGTAGCTTAGCTCGACGCTACCCCTTCGGCTGGGTTCACTCTTGATATTTAACAGTGACAATGTTTTATTGTTCCTTCAGCGCTGCTCAAGTGAAGCACACACCGTGCACACACCGACGTGTGCACAGAGATTACCAGGCTTCTCACGCACTGCAATTTATCCTTCATACTTTATTCTGATTTACCTCACTGATGGGACTAATGAATTGTGCTGTATTGCAAATTTAAATGAGAGATGGATTCCATGGAATAACTGCAGACTATTTTTTTTTCAATTTCTAGGAGGCATTAACGCCTTCTGCCCTTTTTGAGATTACTGAGAAAAGGTAGGTGTAGAAGACAAGGTAACACAGCCTGTTTTAGTCTAAGAGAAAGTCATGGATACTGGTTCAAATTTAGAGGAAAATTAGAGGATAAAAATATCCTAAAACTAATTTATTTTTTACAAAAGATTTAAATTTATTTTGATATACACATAGGTAAATCAGACAAATCAGAGTCTTTTGGTTTATCACTGTATTCCTCGGCTACATTTGTCAGAAACTCGTGAAAGCTTCATTCCGTTATTGTCTCTTGCTCAATCACAAAACAAACATTTCCATCCCTTTGTTTATACATACGTTTCATCTACACTTCAGTCGTTGGGGCAGCAGTGAGTCTGATTGGTACCAGCAGCCATGACATTGATTCCTCTGCAGAGCAAAGCTCAGCATCAGTCTGGGCTGAAGTATCGTCACCTTTTACGATTTCTATAACACACACTATACGTGCTAACGCTCGCCTGTCATTCAGAAGCATCTGCATTGAAAGTCATATGACGAGGATGGGGAAATCGCCCGAATGAATTAAGGATGAAAACAGAAGTTTTGTCTGGGGTCTGACCTACTTCTGTAAATCTGTACCTTAATCTGTTACATAAAAATGTTAATAGTTTATATTGATATGAGGTAATATATGACTCGTATTGTTCATAATAACTTGACAAATTGACCTCAGTTATTATTGACAACAACACTGAAGAAATTCAAACTGCCATCAGTTTAAGTGACTTCAGAAAATCCTTTTGTTTGTGGACTTCTGCCAATTTACGACGAGCTCACGGCCCAGGCAGTTTCTGCCACTTTCTGGAGGCACAATAAATGACATTCAGATGACATTCAATAATTTTCTGGCTGTGTGGAAATGACAACCAGAACGAGCCTTTTGTTATGTGTGCTGCTGTTGAAAAAATGGCTGTAAAACACAATAGAGCAGGGACCAATGGTGAGCTAGGGCTTGAAATGTTTTAAATGTTTTATGTGGAGGCAAAATGTTTAGGAGATCAGTGATTCGCAGGTTCAACCTCAGGATTATGTTTCTGTATGTATAGATATTTGATATCTATGATACTGATGGTCATTTAAGTCTCAGTTCTTTTATAAAAGTTTTACAATAAAAAAAACCATTGTATATTAATAGAATAAATAAAAAAGATCTGTGTTGACAGCCACATATTTTCAATATCACACCTTAAAGCGGTCGTATTAAAATCCCGACGTTCCCTCTGTTATACAGTACAGTTACCCTGAAAGGACAGTGACGATGAATAGTCGTAGGTGTAAAATTAAATGTCATCTCTCGAATAATAAAATAGACTACATTTGTCCAAGTGGCAGTCACTCATTGAAATGAGCTAAACCAAGCAGGGAGAGGTGTCTTTCTCCATGGGAATAAAAGCAATCAAGTGTTTTTGGAGTAGCCACGAGAGCGTAGGCAAGAGGGAGAAAACACGCGGCAAGATGAGATGAAAGGCTGAATTGTGTGTCCACATCATCTGCCTTTGAAGTGATTCATTCCATTTCTGTTAATTAGCAGCTCCACTCACAGAGTGACCTCTGAGTCCCAATCCTGCCTCTGTAGCTCAGTGACACAGGTCTATAAACAGAAAGTGGATCAGAGCGAGCGAGAGACAGAGAATTAAACAATAAGGGCAATAAAAGAGGACGGGGGTAGATTAGTTTAAAAATACGGGGTGGGAGGGTGTGTGTGGGGGGGTGACAGAAAAAGAAGCATCAGATAAACTGAAACAAGGACTCTAACAGACCAATTAGGAGCCGCTCTTTGTAAAAGGATGCATGAGTCGGCTGTTGCTTTGTTCATTTAGCAAGAACAGAGATAAGGTCAAATAGGAGAGAATAATGCAGAGCAAAAAGATTTCTAAAGAGACAATCAGATAAGAAATCAGCGGCTGTGTGTTGCCAACGCAGCAACACGACAACCAGCGCTGCAAAAATGTAGGGCATATTGAATCAAGTAACCTACAAATGTTTGGGCTGTAGGTCGACATCAGAGACCAGTAACCAGAGGGTGATGGTGATGGACTACAGTATGAAAGGATCTGTAATGTTGGTAGGGTCCAACAAAAACCAAGTTTGTTGCATTTACACTTCTCTGATATTATGGATCAGTTGCTGGGGAATGGGCAACTTTTATATATTTAAACGTTTCATTTAATGTGTGGGTTTGTATTTAGATTTTAAGAAGGCTGATGTTGCTGTCAAGCCGATGACAACTGGAACTGTTTAAAATAATAAGATAAAAAGAACTTCTCTCCAGTATAGCTGCAGCCGTTGACCTATAAAATCATAGAATGACATTTGAGTAAAGTGAGACGGTTGAGTGAAAGATGGGGGATTGGTGGTGCTGATCCACTCTTAGATTATTTATTGATTAGTTATCAGACACAAAGAAGAGAGACGCGAGGTGTCTCAAAAACTGACCTCGATGTGGACACTGGATAAATTGTCCCCACAGCAAGTGGGACAAAAGTTCAGTCTTAGATCTGTCTGGATCTCTGGGTTATCGTTAAGTAAACAAATGCACTTCTGTGGTTTCTGTTATCATAATCAATATATAGATATTTAAGAAGGACGTCACATTAGTAAGACGAGTCTCACCTGTGGTTGTCAACTATGATTAGTACTTTAATGTCAGTGGACAGTCACTGCTCATTAGAGACCACTACCTTCGTACCTTGAGCAGCTCACTGAATGTTAAAGCAGCTACATCCTGCATTGCATTAATATTTTTCATTCACAGCTCAGTGTAATCCACTTCACAATTTCAACAATTCACACGTGCATTTCAAAGATCATTTGATGCCACCCTTCAGGTGGGATGTATATCAGGACAGCGAGGCTATTATGGAGACAGAAACAGCGAAAGGACTCCGCGCGCAGGAGTGTTCACTGAACTCCTTCGTAACGTGGCTCACCACGCACGGCGGAAAAAGTGAAAGGAAATGCATTCTATTATGAAAATGCTTGTCCGCAGCATTAATGAATGATGAACATTTGCATCACCTCCTGCCGCGAACACAGAGTTTCAACACCATCTGCTATTTGTTATACTCCCTGTTAGCGTGCTTTGAAGAGGTCCTTTTATAAGGCTTTCAAATATAATGCTAAATAGCTGTCACTGTCGGCATGTGGACGCAAACTGAATACCAATGCCTGGTGCAGAGGAGGAGGTGAACTTACAAAGGATACATCAACAAATGCTCAGATTTATATATATATACACACACACACCTTTATATATATATATATATGTGTATATACATACACTTATATGTATATATATATAGATATTTATATCTATATATATATAAATATATATATATTTATATATATATATGCTGTTATTGTTTTTTTTTTTTTGGTCTGCTGTGACATCATTGTTCATAGAGTTTAATTCTGACAATGAAGCCTGATAAAAAGCCGAGCCAAGTGTGTCAGTGCCATTTCTACAGTGATTTATGGTCCAACTAACTGACAATTACCTGACATATTAGGACTGTCTTCTAGTCAATGCTCGTCCTTTTTCTCAAGGAACCAGAGAGTAAGTGGAATTTGATGATGAGTTTGTTTTAAAATTCCAAAAAGAATATCAAACATTAGATTTTATATTTAACATTTTTATATTTTCTATCTATTTTGTGGTTTTTTTTTTTTTTATTTTACTGCCCCGATTGTCCTTGAAATGCAATGCTGTGGTGTCTTCAAAGCAAGTTGTTGAAACCTTCAGTAAGTAGAGCAGGCGTGCGCTCAGTACTTCCTCAGCAGGGCGCTCTCAGGCTCCACAGACACAGCAGGAGATAATCGATAAACTCCCCCACCACCTTTGTGAAGATGAACTTCAAGCACACTTCGGAGCCAGGCAGCCCTAATTTCTCACTCGAGCTTTAGCGAGAGGAATCATTAGCCTAATGTTCCTCTGTTAATCACACCGACTTCCTACGCTACTTAGGACAAACACGGAAGGAAAACAATGCTGTGGTCAGTGTGACTGAGGGTTTGTTGGATAAACTACCAGGAAAGCGTCCTGTCAAGTTGACATTGAAGTCACAGTCATGCGCCCCCTGCTGACCAAACATGTTAGGGCTGTAGTGCATTGGAATTTACTTGAAACAATCAGAATAATGTTATAATAATGACCATTTTCAGTTGACAATAACAGCTGATAGTAGATTTACTTGAAACAATCAGAATAATGTTGACCATTTTCAGTTGACAATAACAGTTGATAGTACTGTGCACATCTCCAGTGACACTGCCCCCTGCCTGTGATTTCTTCTTGTTGTTTCATTCATTCTTTTCTTTCGCATGTAATCAAAGAATTCTGGTACTTACCAGTGGAAGAAAATCCATCAACCGCAAAGGTACCATGACAGCCCCATGGGTAAAAGGCGAGGGGTAGCACCAGGTCAGACTGCAGCCATGGCACCCCCTAGAGGTGAAAATGAAGGACACACCTTGTTTATAAACAGTAACAGAAATGCAAACAGAATTGCATCTGTTTTAAATAAACAATTACTGTTTCGCTCTGTTTTTGTTTCTCCCACAGAGAGGGAAAGGAGAGAGAGAGAGAGTGAGTATGTGTGTGTGTGTGAGAGAGAGAGAGAGGGAGAAATAATGTGAGGTAAATAAAAATACATCAAGAATTTCTGTGTTCATTCACAAACACCCGACCTGCACACATAGAGATTACACTGGTTCAGGCAGAGCAGGGATGTCATGTGACATGCTCTTTGAACATACCACACCTAATTAGGAGAACCTGCTTTACTGAGTGTTCTATCAGCAAATGTAAGCCTAATAAAGAGCTCCAGGCACGTCCTCTGGCCTGTTCCAAATTAGCTCCAAGCCCAGTAGAACCAGCAGTTCCTCAGAAGCTCTGTCCTTCCTGCACATCTTCATGCGTACGCATCTGTTTCCTCAGTTCATCTGTTATCTTAGAATTATTTTTCCACAGGTAATGAGGCGGTTTCCAGCAGGCAGTGCTGTCCCACGTCACGTCTCACGCAGTTTCCTGTTTAAACTTTGTCTCATCCGAGCCCCCTGAAGCACGCAGAGCCAGGTTTACACTGTGCCTCAAAGGCTTTCCCAACAGTCACTCTAATCTTTATCACAGCAAAAGAAAGACAAAACAAGAGCTGTGTGTAGTGGTAAAATAGAACATGTGTCAGTGAACGGTTACCATTCCTGGGGCGTTTTATTGACCACCCATAGCAGGTAAGCACTGCTTCATCTCACTGCTGTTGTGCTTACAGGGAGCTGGACAATATGGAGCAGAGACAGTATGTATGCTGTGTTCAACGATGATGAGTGCAGAGGAATTAAAAACGTCAAAATAATTAACTTTAGTCATCTTCTTTCTGTCAGTTTGATGAAAAATCAGTTGTTGAATTGATTTATTTTACATTTAAATGAAACTCGCAACTAAAATGGGCGTAAAAAACAAACACTAAAAGATGCAGCAATTGAGCCACACATGGATTAAAATAGAATATAACTTGATATTTGCTAAGGAAATGATAAAAGACTGTGTTTGGTATCTGAAAAGCTCATTTATGTTTGTCATCTATTATACAGTTATTTCTTTTTAATTTACAGCTTTGTGGAAATCCTGTGTCGTCCTTAAAAGTTGGGATGACTGCCAACAAGAAATTCATTCATAATATTGGAATGATGAAGGGAAGGCAGAGAAAAAGGCTGAGGAAAAATAAAAACAGGTCAACGTCAGTGTTAAACTACAGTGTGAGACCTGAGTGGTTGTCAGGTATCACAGCGAAATAAAGCAGCGATAAAAGAGGCAAAAATATAAAAAGCCTTTGGGTTGATGACATAGCATGCTCCTGAAAAGGTGGACAGAATATCCAGTGCCATGTTGTTAAAATGTGATTAGAAGGAGGCAGTAAAGAATACACATCATTAATTATTCAGGGTCTGGGGTTTGTCTGGACCTTGTGGTCAACTGTGAGTGCAATAAAACGGCACAAAACCGACGGTCGAGGACAACCAGGCATACGGCTGTAAATTTCAAAGACTTTGCTGGCATGAGTAAAGGGGAAAAAGGAAGACAAAAAAAAAACCCCAAAAACAGATAGACATGTTGTGAGGTTGCCCTAGCTTCACCTTGGTGAATTGCCTGGAAAAAAAATGATTCTCAAAGACTTAATGTGAAGCAGAAGACTGAGAGGGAAAAAAATATTGCATTGTTATCTTGGGAGGAACACAGTGTGAAAAGAGAGAATTTCAAAAAAAATAATGGCAGAGTTATATTTTTAGCCCATCTTGCTTTTTTCCTCAGTGCTTTAAAGGAAAATGCAACCCATAAACCTCACACTAAACCCTTTATTAAATAGTTAATGCATTTCTTCGTTTTTTATTTAGCAAAAAGTATCTCTTTGCCGTCAGCCTGTGAACACCAGATCACAGACGAACACTGTTTTGGATCAGTGTCTCTACGGGAGCCTTCTATCCCTTCTTCCCCATCTCCAGCATTTGCCCCACTGGCTCAGCAGAGATGCCCCCCAACACAGGGACCTCGTGATGTGTCATTGTTTCCTCTTATATCTGGCTCTGACTTCAAAAGAAATGCCTCTTCTTCAATCATTAAACCCACACACAACAAACTCCAGCAGCAGGCAGCTCCCTGTGAGCTTCACTTTCATTTTATTTTACATATTACACAGAACGTCACCGACTTACGTCGGCGTTCCATTGCTGTGGTGCGACGTAAAACGATTTTCATTATCTCTGTTCGCTGAGGCACAGCGTGTTAAAGGGAAGGATCATTTATATACGTATTCAGGGATCTTGATTTATCACGGCTCTGAGAAGGTAAGGAAACCAATGATTGTGTGCAAAGCAGCAGGTAAAGACGGTGTGTGAATAATTTATGGAAGACAATCGCTTTGGACATATGGTTGGAGGATTAACACACAACACCTCACCTGTGTTTTACTATACATTCATGTACAGCACACAGAGGGGTAAATAAGGTTGCAGGAGAAATCTATTAAAAGCTATAATTTATAAAGTTGTTATATATCTTTGTTCTGTTGAAACCTTGGCAAAGATTATCATCACAGTACATTTTTGATCATGACACTACTATTGTACATTTTCAGCCCTCATATATACACATATATATGTTAGTATAAACTTGTAGACTAAACTTGTAGTTCCATGAAGTTACTCTCCCACCTGGGTGTGAAAAACCCTCAGGCATGAACTTTACTGTCAGGAGGATCAGTCAAATATGATCAGTCTTTAATCTCCTCTTCTTCTTTTTTCCTGTGACACATTTTGCACCCGTATGTCATTAAAGTCAGCAGTAAATCCAGGAGCCATTGTCTCATCCTAATAATCCACAGGACATTTTAGGGTCCACACTGTGCTATCTGTCAACGTTCCACCTCTCAGTCGGGGGAAACATCAAAGTGAAAACACTAATTACTTGTGCTCACCTAGAGGGGCCGTAATTCTTCTCATCCCACTTATATAAGTAAAGTAACACTTTATTTTTTTAATGGTCTGCTGCTGAATCCCTCCAGCTAAGGCACATTCTATTAAAAATCAGCATGAGGCTGTTTGGAGGGCGTTGGCACTCATTTACTGCCTCCTTTGGTGCCCATGTCATGTCTGCTACTGCCTGGGTCCACAATCCAATCCAGACAGATGGAGGGGCTGTTTGTGGAGCAGGGAGAGGGACGGCCTCCCCGTGCCAGTAAACACTGGCAGCTCTTGGAATTAATTACATTCACAGTATGGTAAACCGAATGCTGCTACAAGCGCCACAATACAAACCTGTGCTGCACGGCCAAAACATTTACTGACTTTGTTTTGAGAGCGCTGTAGACGGAGTTGTAAAAAGTTGAGCACGAGTTGAAACCGAGGTTACTCTGAGATTGAAGTTACAATTCTGTGACTACTGCGTGTTGAGGACAAAAAAAAAGTGGATTTTATTTTTATTTTTGTGTTATATTTACACTGAAGATATCACCGGCTTAAATGTACTGGTGGTTTTAATGAATAAAACTTTAACAAAAGGTTTATTATTTTGTTAACAAAACTACAAAAATATACCAAAACCATTACTGACGCTTCCTGTGAGAGGAAACCTGGCCTTCACCAGAACAGTCTTTACTCTAAAGCTCCAGAGCAGTACTTGTTCCTTGCAGCAAAGTACTTTTGTAAACTCTCCAGCTGCCGATTGTGCAGATCGTTTTTTTACTGGTGAATGATTTGAAATAAACAGATCTTGTCGCCAGTAGCTTCCTCTGAATCCTTGTTTTGGACAAAAAAAATACCTTCCTGAAAAACAGCAAAAAGCTTTCAGTTCTGTACCTCAATCCACCAGCAGTACACACTCACCGTGTACTGTGAGTAAACACCCTGCCCTTAACCCTGTGCAACCTTTTGCTCAGACCCAGACAAATGACTGTGTCTCCACACCGCTTCCTTCACTGTGCCAAACATTTCATCTTATTTCCTTCCC